AATCATTTCCACATGAACAGGCTCAACAGCATTTCACATCGGCTTTTTTTACCCTCTTATTTCTCTTTATTATTTGACACTGTCAACTGTCGTGTTTTCACATCAGACCTAAAGTAAACGTGTGTACATATATACATTTGAACTATTCTACAGGTAACAATCTGCTAGTTGCTGGTACAGGGTTCTATATACTATGGGATGATCATGAATATTCACCTTAAACTCTCTTTGTGCCAAGGACAATCAGGTGATTTGTAAATTGATAATAAATCAATCTTTTAATATTTTTTTCTAAACAAAAATCAAGAAATGAGCTGTAACTTGCTTTTTCGACATATCAAACAGTAGGAAGACATTACAATGGGCTTTGAGCGCCTGGGTTGGATATTTCTAAACAATGTAAGACTTATTATAGGCCAAACTGTTCATAGATAAAGAAAATAGGTTGGTTTAATATCTAAGACTTAATTATGAAAGTCAACCTGTTATAGAAAAGTGAGCTTGTTCTCTTACGAGTCTTTAATTAACACGACAAATAGTGGGGGTTTGATAAGAGCTGTGATGTAGATTGAACATCAAAGAGTGGTATCATAAAAGACACTTCAGCCTTTGTTCTGAACTGGCATTTATACCTGTTGTAAAGTTTCTTCTTCCTTCTTCGTCTGCCACCGTGCCGACACACAATTACGCCCTCAAGTTTAATTGGATCCAAGGTGTGGTGGTGTTTTTATGACGTATCATTTTTCCTTTTGTTATTAGAGGTTGGGCCTCCTCATTATTAATTTTCTGTAAGCAAAAATGTAAAACATTTACATTTTGCAGCATCTAAAAAGTGTGAATTTGCAGTTTTTAATGTTTTATATCTTTGCAAACTTTTTATTAAAACTGCTATTCAAATAAAACACATTTTGAATATGTCAGCTACCAAGGTACTTCTCGCTTGGAGGAGGTAATTGGGAAAAAATAAATAATAATAATAATGATTGGATTATTGTTGCAGTCTAATTTGAGGACTTGAATAGACTTTAAAGCAGAATTAAAAACCATTTGATTTGAGCTCTGTGCAACAGAGTGAGCTATGCTGCTTACAATGCGGAAATACCCTTTGTAGGTTTGGTTTCTTCCCATTTGCCAGTAAATGATCATTATGTGTAAATAATATAGATACAATCTCAAAAGATAAAAGTGCAGGGTTTTTCCGCTGGTTTGAGATACCAAAATATAACCATTTGAGCTGTCACTGGTTTGGTTTCAATATGATAGTATTTGAACATTTTCCTCTGAAATACAGTGCTGTAGAAGTGCAATTACCTCCAAATAGATTGTTCTTGCATCCTTTCGCAGGCCTACACAATCTTATATTTTTCTTTAAAATGTATAAGAGCATGTTTATGTGGTCCTCTGCCCAGATTTTGCACTTAAATGTATTTTACGTTTTACACAGAATTATGAACAAATACCTCATATTACATTGAAGCACAGCAAATGTATGTGCTCTGAGGAGAAATATGTATATGCAAAACATGTTTGTTGTCTTTGCACAGCGCTGAGGTCTGTAAGAACATCTCTTCTATGCAGCTAAAACGCATAAATTCAAAAGGTCATCAGCGGTTTGAGTTTAAAAAAATGTTATGGGGAACGCTGACATGTCAAAACTTGTTCTGTGACATTAAACCACCTTATGTTTTAAAAAACCAATTCGTCCAATTAAGGTCACATTTATTTTCAAGAGTACACAATGATCAGATAGCATAAAAAACATCATCCATGATCTCATTCACAGTTACCACACGCTGTGTTGGTCTGAGACAGGTGTTGAATTTCAACAAGTGTTTGCTTCATTTATTGTTACACAGGGAGGTTTAGCCACGGGCCGCTTAACCGACAAACGCTGGAGGAAAGGGAAAGAAGAACAACATTTAAGTGAGATTTATGATTCAATCACGGAAAAGGTTTTACATAAATATACTCTGACGGTACTTGCTTGTGCTGAAATTTGATATAACCTACTCACATTTAGGCACATCTGCATGCATAAGTGAAGATGTGTAATGAGGAAATATATACATTTAATATGTGTGCGCATAGGTCACTAAAGCAAAAAGTAGCAAGAAAATAATTACTAATGAAAATCTGGGCAGAGGACCACATAAACATGCTCTTATACATTTTAAAGAAAAATATAAGATTGTGTAGGCCTGCGAAAAGATGCAAGAACAATCTATTTGGAGGTAATTGCACTTCTACAGCACTGTATTTCAGAGGAAAATGTTCAAATACTATCATATTGAAACCAGGCCAGTGCTTTCTGTTCTTATATAGGCCATTACCATAGACTGAATGGGAGATAACACACTTTTCTAGTCCCATATTGTCTGCAGAATCCAAATTCAGATTCAAGATTTCTCTTTTTGTCCCACAGAGGGGAAACTTGCATTGTTACAGCAAAGAGGCAAAAGTAAAACAGAATCAAGTGTCAAGCACACGTAAATGAAATAAGAATCCAAGACATATTCAAAGGAAAGATAAGTAGCAGCAGAAAACTGTGAACATATTGACGTATCCTTTTAGGCAGATGTAGCAAGATTTTTAGAAACAAATCAATGATCTACTTGTCCAACAATTACAGAGCTACAAAATCAATTACTCCAAATATTGCTGATTTTAAATCCAGACTAAAAGTATCATTATTTAATTAATTCATTAATAATTCATTAATTTTTCAAGCACTGTTAACATTTGTTTTTAAAATGCAAGGCCTTGTTATTATGATTATTATTATTATTATTATTATGTAGAACATTTTCATTTATTCATTTCCTTTTTAATTCTAAATATGCTATACTGTATTATATAAACTTTGTATTGTGCTGTTTTATTCTCTCTGTACAGCTTTAACCTCCCTCTAATGTGCATTAAAAATAAAACTCAGTGGTAAAGCTGTTGGCTAAACATTTCAGTCTCATGTTATGTTTTATTCAAATTCAATCCAAATCCTTAATTAAAAAATCTGGTCGTTAAACCCATTCAGAGAGAAGGCTCCTAAAGGCTTTCAGATTCCTGGGCTGGATCCACATACTTTAGTTATACCCAGTGTTCTTCTTACACGTGTTTAAAATGAAGTCTTGAAGAGTGACTCATGTACTCACCGTGCCTCAGCAGAATATGCAAATACTCATGCTGGTGTACGTGCAGGGATGTGCTCCACTGCAAGTCAAGACATGAAGTGCTGTTCCTCAAAGTCAGAATGAGGAATGAGGGTGAGTGACAGGCTGAAAACACTTCATTTGCATTCACAATGTGGTACTGGTTTTAGGATCACTTTTGAGATACTTTTGGAACATTATTAAATCAAGACTTTACTTGTAATTGGGTATTTTTTGTCTTTGGTATTTGAAACTTTTACATAGGTTACACCAGAGCCGTATAATAGAATTAAATATTCTATCTATATGGCGCTGGGTTACACATTTAAGTACTTCTCCCACCTGATAGCGTTACATCAATACATTTGATTACATATTTTTTAATCTAATCTTATTTCATCTTTTCACAAGATACTTTTGTACTTCTATATTTACCTCAAAACTTCATTTAAATACTGTTTAAATGTTGTAAGAGAAACCAAGCAAAAGTGGGAGCTGACTTGAGAACATTTGTGGGAAATATGATGTTGTGTCAGAATATAAGAAAACCTCCAACTACAAAACATACTGACACTTGAAAACAAATCACCGGGTTACAGGCGTTTGATGATGATGACTCCTGCTGGATATGCAAATACAATGCAGTAGTGCTTTCAAATTTCACTCTAAAAGAAGGAAACTTAAGTATAAAGATTGTTCTTCTTTATCCACAATGTTTAAGTTTGAGATAGAATAATGTATATTTGATTTTAACTGATGATTTTGGTGATTTTTGTTAGTTTCTTTTGTGAAGTAATTTTCTTTATCTGACCACAACAGGTTTTCTTTTATCTTCTTGACACGAGAAAGGTTTATAACTGTCATATAGTGTTTGAATAACATGTTGTCCATTAGTATGTTTAGACTGCTAAAGTGTGCTTTTCTAATAGTATACAATTATTATTTTAAATAGCTGAGCCGTGGTTTTTCTTGTGAAATGTTTTTTCTAGTTTTTTTACCAAATGAATAATTTCACCTCTCATTTTACTCTGGTTCAAGATTAATAAAAAAAGGTTCTTGAAGAAAAATAAGAACTTCACTACCCAGAAGTCAAATAGATCTTGCACATGCGCAGTGTGAATCAATTTCATGACGTTTATTTTGTTGTCTTCTTAGCCAAGTTACTGTAGCTGCTGCACTGTCTCTGTCTGTGATAATAACAACAGTGATGTAGCACACAGGACTAAACCCTGCTGTGACCAGCTAACGTTAGCTAATGCTAAAATCTGTTATTTAAACTAAAGTGGCTCCGTTTGACAACCAGCTAGCTAACTAGCTAGCCAGACAGACGCTACAAGCTGCTGTGCGATGTGCTGCTGTTTGTTTTTCTCCACAGCTAACTAACTCTGCTGCCAGGCGGCTAACAGAGCTAGCTAGCTGCGTGTTTAGAGCACCAACAGAGAGAGGGGAAAACAGGACAGATTCACACAGCCTGTGAAGTACAAGATCTGAGGACTTCTACTTTTACTGAAGTACAAGATCTGAGTACTTTTACTCAAGTACAAGACCTGTGTACTTCTAACATGGTGTTTTATTTTGAAGGCTCGGTGAACAGAAGAGGCGGAAGTGATGTTCAGTAAACGTGAAGCCGCAACACGGAGTGCGGTTGCATCAGGCAGGGACCTCATTCAAATAAAATGTTAATTACTTAGTCTTAATAACACACTGTGGTAAATACACATAGGGTAATGACTCAATGCAAGAACACCTCCCCTGGGACTATTACATATAAAGATTATAATTCATATTAAATAATTACGTTAAATAATAATGTTAGTGTATGATACTTCTTGGCCACTCAATAAAAGGACAACGGGAAGTTAACCTGATCTATTTTGGTGAAATAAATCAGGTTATTTATTGAAGTCTGATATAAACACAAATACCCAACAAAGTGAAGAAGTGCTCTCCCATGATGAAAACTCATGCCCCCACAATGCATCTGTTTGTAGTCCATTATCAACCGCTGAGAAAAGCTTCTTTTACAATATTAAAATACATTTACCAACACCTGCAGGGTCAATGAAGTCTGTTACATAAAAAACACAGGTGTACGGTAAAGTCTAAAATCATCAGCTGCTGCAGAACTCCAGATATTAACGAGCAATTAAGTAAAATAATCTCTAACCTCTAACAATAAATACATCGGACAACATTTACAGGATACCTGAGCCTGAAATACCACTTTAAAATCTCTGTTTGCAGCAAATACAAGTAAACTATTAAAAAAACAAACATGTTACGTGTTGGGCTAAGGGGCGGGACATCTCTAAGCTGTTGACCAATCACAACAGAGGCAGCTGACCAATCAGAGCAGACTGTGGAGACATGATATGAACCTGAAAAGTCCAACATATCTCCTCTTTAATTAAAAATAAGATGATATGATCAAACAGCTTGTTTCCATCTGAAATGGGAACTGTATCGACATGTTAGTGATGCATTTAAATAAAATGAGGTGTTGAATATGTAACAGACTACCCGCAGTTATCCCACACTGAACACATGCACACGTAGAATAAAAAAAAATCAGCTATAACTGCTATCAAAACATCTGTGCGTGAGAATAAAGAGAGACATGTGAACGTCCTGCCACGAGTCATAAAAGCTAATATATATATATAGTCAAACTCACGGGAGTACCAGTACTGTTCTGTGCCGTCATGCAGGATACAACGTGATATAAAAACCTCAACATTCATCTGTAATTCAAACACCATTTATATAATTGATTCCAGCCGTGAAACCAAATCATTTAAAGCCGTGCAACAACACTAAATATTGGCATTAATATAAAAACATCATGTGGAAATGCTTAAAGAATAGTGCTGCACTGAATACTGAAATGTGTTTGAATGGCTTTACGTTCCCTCTGACCTCAGGTGTTCAATGACTTATCTCCTGGAAGATAAGTGGAAGTATGTATAGTGTATTGCACGTATAATGAACGGGATATTTAGAGTCCAACAGGTGTTTTTTGGGCTTCACTGCGGCCGGTAGCAGGCGTCCGGCTGCCACACCCTCAGATCCACCAGAATCTGGTTCAGTTTGCTCATCCAAAGGCTCCTCTCGTCCTTCGTGTCCGCACTCAGCCAGTTCCTGCACACATATACTATTTATACACACTACATATACAAAGGTTTCATAGTAACATACCTTAATATTTATTATATTGATCTATCTTATTATTGCACAGTTGCACTTTAAGTTCTAACTTCCAATTATACATTTTTATTCCTTTTAACGATTTATTTCGAGCAAAAACCCAATTTCCCACAAGATAAATAAAGTACTCTGATGAGGGTTAAAACATGTGTGTATATATATATATATATATATATATATATATATATATATATATATATATATATATGAAATACAGTGGTGAAATGTCACAAAGTACATTTATATTAGTACTATTTTTATATCATTTACATTTTATTCTATACATGTAACCCACTACACTTTGAAGCAAATACTTTTTTTAAATATTATTTCTCTGTTATTTGATTTATTTTCTTAAAACAAAACCCAAACATTAAGTCAATTTTGGAACTTTCCTCATAATGAAGTATTTTAAGACCAAAGTATTTCTACTTTTACTTTAAAGGCTCCGATTACTTCTTCCACCACTGTACATACACGGAGAAGAACCTGATCTTCGTGCTTAGTGTTACCGTGTACTTGTATTGCAGTACTTTCAGAGCGTAGTACTTGTAGTGTAGTACTTACTTGGTGACACACAGCGTGTCGGTGCACTGAGAGACGAGGGTCTCCCGGTCCTCTGCTCTCTGAGGCCGAACAGTGATCAGCTCCAACGTGTTGGGTCGGGCGCAGAACTCTCTGTTCACCGGATCCACGCGCTGACTGGTGCAGTGACACAGGTTCAGACGCCCAATGGGGTTCTGGGGGAAAGGGGGGGTCAGTACGGATATAACACACATCAAATATAAAACAGACGGCTGTCAGAACAAGATACCTCGAGATATGTTTGGGGTTATCGAGGAGAGGTGCCATTGCATTTCCTTTGTATTTGTTCATGGTATGCACAACGTAATCCAAACAATTATTTACAAAACAAGCCTCGTATAAATCGTATATTACCAGCTCCTTTCTCAAAACATATAAATATAAATAGATGGTCCTTCAAGCCATCATGGAGTTCGTTCGCAGAAATGTTCATCAGAAAACGTCATTTATCCCCGGAGGACATTTTGACGGTTGCTCAAATTTACAATAAAATAAAACAAAAATGTTTATATAAATAAGAAGTTAAGTAAAAGAGTGAAATATATATGCAGTAAATATTAAAAACATATATCTTTTTATAAAAATAACCCAAAATAAATAATATTGTTATAAATAAAAATATTGTATTAGTAAAAAGTGCAAATTGTAGAACAGTAAAAATAAAAGTATTACCGGTACTTGCAATAAAAACACATGTAACCTCAGTAACACTTAAGGAAGTTGCATGTTTAATGAAAATACAATTATTTCCTACATTATTGAATATGAAAAGGTGCTCACTGAACATGGAAGATACGATAATAAAAAGAGAATAGAGGTAACATTTTAAAGTGCAGTTGTCAAGGTTTACAATGAGGGTTGCAATGCATTGATCTCTCAAATTGATGACGAAAGTCCAAAAGCTCTTTGGTCCACCAGAGAACCAGGAAGCACAATGTCCTATTTCCTGACACTAGAGGGCAGTGTTCAGTTAGAAATAAGGTGCCATCAACCTGTCAGAGAGTGCAGCAGAAAATAGGCCCTGATGTCTGGATGTGGCTTCCTTACACGATGGACTAAAGCGCTAAATGTTCATTAACGAGCAATGTGTGCATGCATGCTGGTTTTTAATTAATGTGCAACCTTGTTAACGGGCTACTGTAATCTGGCTTTTTTGATTACTGCACATATTTCATATTTTGATGTAACGATACCAAAAATTCACGGTACGATAATATCACGATAAAAAGTCCACGGTACGATATTTATCGCGATATTGAAAAATAAAGAAGAAAACAAATTGTGAATCTTTTTTTACATGTTCTTTGAATTTTTTTTTCTTTATTGAATAATAAATCTGATTTGTTGAGCAATAAAATAAATCAAGTTTCACTTTAGTTTTTCAAGTAACTCAACTCAAACTCACTCTGTCATCAGACAGGTTTTTAGGAATATGAGCATGCCCACATTTCCAGGTAGAAGCTGGGATGTTTGGGCGTTTACAATATCCCCTGCTGTGGAAAGAACTCTCTTGCTTGGTACTGATGTTGCTGGGACAGAGAGATATGCTTTGTCCATGGGTGACAGCAGTGGGTCAAACTGTGCAATGTCTCTCTTGGCTTATTGACAGGGCGAGATATACATATACTGTTGGTACTTGTCAATGTCTCTAGGTATGTACATGTAGCCCTGTAAATACGATGTCCTTTTGTGCCATCTGTTGTTTTATGTTCATGTTGTAACCTACTTGCTGCCATGTTGGACAGGTCTCTCTTGAAAAAGAGATCGAATAATAGTCTTTTTTGTCAACAAGCCGAGGCGCAGCGGCAGTTGCACTCCCACTTGCAGCTTCTCGTTTCTCACATGCTCTGGCAGCTAGCGCGTGCATGAGAGAGGGGCGGCACTTAGAGCGTGCTTGAGAGGGGAGGGGCTGCAGGCACGGCTGCAGGGAGTGGAAGCAGAACACACACGGCTCTTATTAAAACAGCGCTTTCTCACCGGAGTACTTTTCCCCGTCATTCTTAAAGTACAGATACTAATGAAACGGAGGAATTGTAACGTTTTTAACGGCATCGCGGTACCTTTCAAGTATCGGTACACCGTGCAACACTACAATGGGACCACCTGGTTAAATAAAGGTTTAAAAAAAAAAAAAATGTGTTTAAAAAAAAGTTATAATATTTGTATTTTTTTAAATCGCGGTCGGTTTTGTCAGTCTCACGACGGTATTGAGACATTTATTTACCGCGATATTCGATATATCGTTACATCCCTAGTTATTATAGTTTTCTATCTGTGTTTTGACTTTTATGTATGCACCATGACACCAAGTCAAATTCCTCGTACGCGTCAACCTACCTGGTGATACACCTGATTCTGATTTCTGACTGTCACTAAATAATTGACCAATTAAGCATCAGTAAATCACATCTAATCTTATCTCCATTTGTCTAGAATGATCCCTATACGTTGGGATCATTTCAGAAGGAAAACAGGACCCATTAGTGCACATTGAAATAAGGTAAAGAGTGTAAAGCTACCTTGCGCTTCTCGTCGTCGGGGTAGGTCCAGTAGGAGATGCAGTACCCGGACAGAACACACCACCTCCGGTGCCACGAGCCGAACCCACTGACGTCCTCAAACAGCGTCTGGAGAGATAATATATTAGTATTGGATAAATTCTCATTCAAACAATCCCTCAAAAATCACCTTTTCACTCTTGCCTTTCAAACCCTACTCCACTAACCCCTCGCCCCTATTCCACCTAGCTTAGCACTTTTGACTTTTGTTGTTATTTTCTTTCTTTCAAGGTTTCAAGGCTTTTATTGTCATGTGTACAGAGCTACAGTGGAGATATGTCAATGAAAATCTGAGGTCACAGGCTCCTCCAACAGAGCAACACCATACAACAGATCAAATAGTGCAACTAAATAAAATAGAATAGAAACAGTGCAGAATAGTCGATATACAGTAATTGGAATATTGATATTTACTTGATTGTAAAGCGGTGTGAGCAGCAGGAAAAGCACTATATAAATCACATGTATTATTATTATATAAATCTACAGTGTTTCCACTCACCAGGAAGCCCCTCTCCTCCACCTTCGAGCCCACCTCACACTGCATCTTCAGGTAGACGTTTCCCTCCAGAGGACACAGGAACGGCACCTGAGAGTCAGAGACACACGAGTCAGCAGCAGCTCAGATATCAGGGTGCACACATGTTTCAGTTAAATACAAGGTTCAACAAATGAAGGTCACAATGCAGGTTTAACATGGTAAAAGAGGGACAGAAAGTTAGTGTGGGAATGCAGTAAATAACCCTCCTGTTACAGTGCTCTCCCTCACACACACACACACTCACAGAAACACTCACACACTGAAACAAGTACACACACACACACATGTAGTAACCTTGGTGTGAAACAAGTCACTGAGCAGCTCTCTGTCCCTTCGATCATATTTGATCTAAAACACAGACATCAGGAAGTGGGGGGTGAATGAGGGAACATGGAGAACAACAGGGAGTCTGTGACGCCTCTACACACACACATATAAACACTAATACCTCAAACCTAAAGCACGGACATTAAGCCACAGACAAAGAGGAAAACTGAGAGGGATATACACTAGGGATGGGAATTTGAAAGCAAATTTATATTCGAAAATGGCACTGTCGTATACATTTGATTAATCCATTTGATCATATGTAATCAACTTAAAATGATTCATAACTCATATTCGAACACCTGAATCAACGAATATTCGATTAATCATTCCCATCCCTAATATACCCTAATAACATCAAACCTAAAGCATGGATATACAGTGCCACAGTGACGCGTCCTAAAACCCGGAAGTCAGCATTTCACCACTTCCGGTTCCTTCGACAAAAAGCAATGGGATCTCTCCATAGGGTTTAGGAAACTATCTGTAAATAAGGTCTGTGGTTGAGACGCATTGAAGAGACGGATCACGTTTAGTTCTACGACATTAAATCCATCAGCAGTGACCCCACTGGTGATTTCTGAAGAGTTAACGTGTCTGAAAAACGATGGTTGTTACCAAGTGGCTGAATAGGACTACAGAAGTTGAGGAGGACGTTGTACGTCATTACGCCGAACACGTAAACACTCCTCTAAGTTTGTTTGCCCTGTTCTGCTTGAAAGCAAGTACCTGCCTCCTGAAAACTGTTCAAACAAACGCTTCAACTCATACTATTTAGAATCTGTGTGTTTGATATGGATCTTAAGTTGGCGTGACGTTGAAGTCGTGCTGCTGTACTCGGCTGTAGTTCGTTTATAGCATAACGTTAGCATTTTGCTTCCGGCCATTAGATTTATGATTAGAAAATTATAAAAGTAGGGTAGACATGTGGAGATTATCCGGCTGAGCAAAACGTGATCCGTCTCTTAAATGTGTTTTCAACCACAGACCTTATTTCCAGATATTTTCCTAAATCCTATGGAGAAATTGCAATGCTTTTTGTCGAAGGAACCAGAAGGAGTTTGCTTCCGGGTTTTAGGACGCGTCACTGTGGCTCTCTATGAAGCCGTGGACAAAGAGAATAGTGAATGTATAAACAGCAGATTGTGACGGTGTGTCAGTGATCAATAAGATGCTCACCTTGTCCAGGTGGAACTTGTTTTGCCCGATGGAGGCCAGGGTGAGTTTGTGGGATCCGACCAGGAGGAAGTTGCTGGTGCGCACAGAGTTCGGTCCTCCAGGACTCGCTATCACTACACACACACACACACACACACACACTATATTATAGTACTATACTATAGTAATACTGCATGAAGTTTAAAGCGGCACTTCACCACTCTATTATACAGATCAAGATCTCTGTACCGCTCAAAATAAGAACTTATCATTGGAAACTGTTTAATGTCTTTTCAATTAAGCGAAGTGTAGGATGAAGCAGTTTTGACGTAAAGAATTTGATGCGCCCGTTTTAACTTCTGTGATTCCACCGGGCTCTACAGCACAAGGCAAGTTAGATTTAAGACTTTCTAATGCCACACTGAATTACAGAATTGAAATAGTGAATTATGTGCAATCTTTACACAATCTTGACCATTTAAAAAATAATTGATGTTACCAATTCCATACAACTCAGTCCATATTTATTTATATATAATGAGATCAATGTATTTTAAGATTGTTTAAAGGGATCCCCTTGTTTAAATCTGTCTATTTTAAATCTCCTAATTATTTTCACTAGCATTACCTAATCAAGGAAATGTAAAACTTGCCCTTGAAGCTTATGAGTTTCAAAAAGCTTTAATTAGATTTCACTTCATACAGGGTTCCTGCAGGTTTCGCCAACTCAAATTTAAGACTTTTTAAGACTTTTTAAGACTTTTTAAGACCTTTTTAAGACCACTTCGAATAGAATTTAAGACCTATTTCACGGCAAGAAAGTATGAAGGAAAATTGCTATGAAAGAAGAAATACGTCCCATAATTACTTACAAATCAAATGTATTCATGTTCAACATAAGAACAATGACTGAACATAACAGCATAACAGTACAGAACTGTGTTAGCCAAAAAGTGTGTATGTGTCTCTGTGTGTGCTTGTGTGTGTGTTAGGGCTGTGCAATTAATCGTATTTTAATCGCAATTACGATTTTGGCCTGCCACAATTACAAAAACAACATAATCGAAAAAAACTATTATTTTGCTTTGCTAGGTTGTGACAGCGCAACATATTTGATCTAATTAATTTTAGTCTAATTTATTTTTATTTATCATATATGTTTAGTAACTTGTGGAAGTGCGCTCCAAAATATTTGTTGATCTTGTTTATTGGTATTTATTATTTTGATATTATTTATTTAAATATATCATTTATTTAATTTATTTTTGTATTGGTTTTTCAGTTGAATTATACGTTCAGGGTAATCAACAGTTAAAAAGATACTGTTCAAATTATTATTTGTTTTAAAGTTCAATAAATGGATGTTTTCAAAGTCAATGAATAATCTTATTTAATAATCGTGATATCAATTATTGACCAAAATAATCGTGATTATGATTTTTGCCATAATCGAGCAGCCCTAGTGTGTGTGTGTGTGTGTGTGTGTGTGTGTGTGTGTGTGTGTGTGAGAGAGAGAGAGAGTAACAAGAGCTATATTCAGAGCTCTGCTGCCTTGGCTACAATCTTTCATCGTTGCTGTTGTATGATTGGTGTTTAACTACGGTATTTAGCGTATACACTACAGCACCTCCGCTTTTAGGGTTGACGTCGAAGACCCAAACGTCGCCCGGAGGTCCAACGGTGTTGTTGCGGGAGCTGCTGCACTAGCTAACGCTGCACTAGCTAACGCTACATTAGCCAAACAAACGCCAATTTCTTTTGAAAAAGGTGCAGCGGGCTTCAAACACGTTCCCCTCCACTGGTTTCAACCAAGCACTAAATTCGACGTTTTCCAACCAAATACGGTTGAACTTACACTTCCCCATATTTATTTGTAAGTAGATTCGAAGAGAGATGAGTTTCTGACTGCCGCTAGCTGAAGCTTGGTTGCTAGGTTACTAGCTGGGTGTTCTCCGTTAAGGGGCCGGGGGAAACAAAGTTAGTGATGACTGGTTCCATGTTGATTTATTTCAATACAAATTGTTGGGGGGAACTGAAAGGCTATTACCGTTACTTTGCAGCCCGGACATTTCCCCCAAAACACATTTTAGACGCGATCGCAACACAGAAGTACCTTTCAAATCCCATCATTTTTAAGACCTTCTAAATCATATTTAAGACCTTTCTTATTTTTTTGGTCATATTTAAGACCTTTTTAAGGCCTTAAATTCAGATTATCAAATTTAAGACTTTTTAAGACCCCGCGGGAACCCTGTTCATAGAACAAAAATATTGAGTATTTCTACATACCTGGTGTCTGGACACTTTTCTGCAAGACAAGAGATAAAGACCAACAAATTAAAAATGTACAAATGGCAGGCAGGAGAGAAGTCAAACACTCTTATTGACACACATATTCAAAAGCAGAACATATATTAGAGATACTCACAGTGATGGCCAGGAACCTCTTTGGAGTCATGGCCTGGAGAGATGAAGGAAATGTTTTAAAGATGTAAATGACAGTGACATGTTTCTGGTCAGGTAACAGTGCATCAACCACACTGTTCCCCCCGACCCACACTGTGCCCCCCCACCCACACTGTTCCCCCCCACCCACACTGTTCCCCCCCACCCACACACTGTGCCTCCCCACCCACACACTGTGCCTCCCGACCTACACACTGTGCCCCGCGACCCACACTGTTCCCCCCCGACCCATACACTGTGCCCCCCGACCCACACTGTTCCCCCCCGACCTACACTGTTCCCCCCCGACCCACACTGTTCCCCTCCACCCACACACTGTTCCCCTCCACTCATACACTGTGCCCCTTCACCCACACACTGTGCCCCTTCACCCACACACTGTTCCCCTCCACCCATACACTGTTCCCCTTCACCCATACACTGTTCCCCCACCCCCCCACACGTGAGGGATTAATACAGAAACATACCGACATACACATATCATGGGCCTCATGAACATGTCTCCTTATCTGGACACACACACACACACTTCAAGCATTAAAGCACGCTTCAGTATCGACAGACTCCATTAAAGTTAAAATATTTGTGTGAGATTTACCTTTGACTTGCTGGCTTTCTTCTTCTTGTCGTTGCAGACGTCACGCCTCTGCACCTGAGGGATAAATAAAACAGAAGACTAATGAACCAGCTGCAGATCAATACTAAAAACAGGTATGTAACCTTTATCCAGAATGTTTCTCACAAGGCAAACATGTAAACAAACCTTGAAGCAACCGAGCAGCATTAAACCCTCAGAACAAAGATGCTCAAATGAATGTAATGGAGTTGTACGTGCTCAATGTGAACCTTCTTTATTTAGAGACAGTTTAACGTGACTGCACATAAGCATTTCATAACGTTTGACCTGTAGAGCTGTTACATGCAACTCAAAGTATCTCATGCTGTGCTCGATCATATTTGTATCATATCCAGCAAAGTACATATGAGGACGAATGCACATATTACAGAATATCTTAAAGAACGTTAATATCTGAGTAACAGTGTTTGGAGACAAAGAGAGAACATCCTAACTGGAAATCAAACTGTAGGGATGAGCGTGCAGATTCCTCCTGGTGGATGAAACTGAATTTGTTGTAAGAAAGATTCTACTTTTGAAAGTAAACACTCACCAAGCTGTAGACCTCGATATCAATCTCAAAGTCACTGGAGACGTCAGATCTGAGAGGGAGGAGGATCACAGGTATTTGTTCAAGTACAGAATGCAGTACAGAATCTGATAGAAACATGTTTTTATAATCTGATCAGGTGCTCACATGGTGAAGCTGGTGGGGAAGGTCAGCGTGTCTCCGCTCAGGCCTCGATGTGTGCTCGCTAACGGAGTCGCTACCGTGTGCTCCACTCCAGCTCGAAGCATCAGGAAGAACGAGTGCTTGGTCGCCTCTGAAGGGAGGAAGAGGGTGGGTTTTTTATTATCTTAAAAGGTCTCCTATCATGCAAAAGTCACTTCTTGATGTTTTCTCTACATCACCGTGTGTCCCCGGTGTGTCCCCCGTGTGTCAGGAGACTCTTAAAGTGTCAGGAAATAAAACCCTCTCTCTTTTCCTCCGTACCCACATCTCTAAAAACGGGGGAACAACGGAGCTGACCCAGATTTGCTGCGTCATGACCACATTACTCAAATGTGGGCGGGCTTTAAACCCACGGGCCAATCAGAAACAATGAGACGTGTTTTGAACCTAATATGGTCTGTGTTTACATTAGCAAGCATCGCTAACCACTCAGAGCTAACTTGTACTGGAGAGAGTATGTGTGAAGAAGCAGGAAATAGAGAATCATCACTTCAGTAACAGCTGAAAGAGAGGGGGATGAGGCTAGAATGGGTGATCTGTTTGGTATTTTGAGCAAAACACTTCAGAGACATGTTTTTTTATATATCTGAGACCTATAATATATGCCTAAAAAGAGTATATAGGGGACCTTTAATGTTCATAGCTGTCACCAGAGTGGTGCAGGAATGAGTGCTCTATAGTCTTGTATCTCTCTCTCCCTAAGCGTACCTGGCTTGTTGGCGATGGAGCAGACGAAGTCGGCCTTGAGAGGCAGACGGAGCTCCTGCAGGGTGACGGAGCCTTTAGAGGCCGAGGGTCCAGAGGGTCCCGGGGCTGAGAGGGGCTTCTTCTGTCCTGTCGGGTCTCTGGTCAGACGCTCCAGCTCTGCCTTCAGAGCCTCCCTCCTCTCCGCTGAGAGAGAAGAGCAGAACGTCAAGCTTTGATTCCACTGAGAGTCTCTGTACATACAGGGGCTTTAGAGTGAGGGGTCAACTGGAGAGCTCTCATCAATCAATCAATCAATCAATCAATCAGGGGCTCTAAACTAAGGGTTAAACTGGAGAGCTGTGTCTTTAGCACGCCTGTTCATTGTCTATGAACCTGGTTGTTGTGCAGATAAACATTAGACTACACTTAGATCATGCTTTGTGTAGAGTTAGGCTCTAGACTCTGGTGTCTGCATATGAATGTTTCATATACTCCAATGGACACGCCTCACTAAGGAAGTATTATGGGATGTTACTCACTGGCCACCAGCAGCAGCCTCTCGGCCTCGGCCTCCACCTGCGACCCCCTGCCGTGCTCCTCGTCGGTGCAGCAGTTCAGAGCCTGGCTGGCCTGATGGATGACCGTCTGCTGCAGGTTCAGCCCCGTGCTCAGGACCTGGAGGAGTGGGATGGAGTGTAATATATCTGTACTGGTGATATAACACCACCATTGCACCACATTTCCAACCTTGGAGTAATCTTTGACAGCCAGCTCAAATTCGATAAACACACAAACCATATCACCAGGACCGCCTTCTTCCATCTAAGAAACATTGCCCGCCTCCGCCCCTCACTCTCCTTCCCGGCTGATAACCCTCATCCACGCATTCATCACTTCAAGACTGGACTACTGCAACAGCATCCTGTATGGCTCATCATCCAACATCCTAAATAAACTACAATATATCCAGAACTGCGCTGCCCGCCTCCTCACCCACACCCGCTCCAGAGACCACATCACCCCCGTCCTCCTCACCCACACCCGCTCCAGAGACCACATCACCCCCGTCCTTCAGAACCTGCACCCGCTCCAGAGACCACATCACCCCGTCCTCCTCACCCACACCCGCTCCAGAGACCACATCACCCCCGTCCTTCAGAACCTGCACCCGCTCCAGAGACCACATCACCCCCGTCCTTCAAAACCTGCACTGGCTTCAGAGACCACATCACCCCCGTCCTTCAAAACCTGCACTGGCTCCCTGTCCGTCAACGAATACACTTCAAAATCCTTCTGCTAACACAAAGTTCTCAATAACCAGTTTCACCGCTTGGTGCGGTGCGTTTGGGTTGGAGTCCTCTGAAGTGAACTCAACAACCTGAAACAGGTGGTCTCGGACCGCTTGCTAGTGAACTCTGGAGCGGTTCATCTCTGTGAACGCAGTCCGCACCAAAACACAGGAAGCGTAGTATTTACGAGTCACAAGAAAGCGGATGTCTTCAAAATCTTCAGCGAAAGAGTGAAGCAGAATGAAGAGTTGACCGGTGTCGTGTAAAAGTAAAAAAGCTCCCTCAACTCTACAGAAAAGTGGCAGCTCCCCCGATATTAAAGACACATCATCTAGGCCGTGTGTCACATACAGTAGCCTGAAGTCACAAACTGAAGCCAGGCTATAGAACCTCCTGAAAAACAATGCACCAAGCGTTCCTCTGGTGCGCAGCAAAGAAACGACTGTTAGGTGTGAATGCGACCGTAAGCATTTGTTCCGAACCTTCATCTTCTGCTTGACGTTGAACAGAGCGGCTCCTCGGGGCTCCTCTGCTCTCTGAGTCACGTCCTCTTTCCTCACGATCACCTGCTTCACTGCCGGCCTCTCCGTCTCCTTCACTCGGATCGACCTGTAGGCGTCGATGCTAAACACACACATAATTATTATTATTATTATTATTATTATTATTATTATACTATAATAATAATAATAATAATCTTTATTTGTATAGCACCTGTCATACAACAAGTGCAGTTCAAAGTGCTTCACAGACATTTCACAGAAAATGGATATCACTCAGAATACAGTTTCCAGTAAAAGACATAAAAACAAACTAAAAATAGCATGAATACAATACATTTAGATTAAAAGGTACAACGATGACATTGTGCATAATATCAGTGATTCTTATTTGCTAATGTTTATCTATATTTACTACTACTTTCACTTCTTCGTTATAAGCTTGGGAAAAGTCCTTATTAAGAAGATGTGTTGCAGTGTTGTTAGTTAGCAGCAACAGTATGACCTTCAACTTCCTGATACGTCCTCCCTAAACTCCCAGAATGCTCCTTTCATTATCACCAAGCTTCACCCCTCCCCTTTTTCCTCTCTCTGTGTTTAAATAACCCCGACTCTACTCTTGGTCTTCCACTCTGCAGACTGCATGCTCTCTGTGGGACTGACTGAACTGTCTTGCAAGAAATAAAACAAGACAGCTGATTGGTTTGATTCTCTATCCACATTTGATAAGATAACAGTGAGAGGAGAGATCTCTGCTCCAGACTCCTACCTGTATGGAAGTCCTCTCTCCTCCTCTAGCGTCTCCCCTGAGGAGGCGCCTCGCACCATGTTGGATCTCTGGAACTTACTCCGTCTGGACACCTCTTCAGGAGTGCCGCTCTTCACCAGGAAGGAGGTGGCTGGAGTAGACGTCTGCAAAAAAATAGTTAAAACTTATTTTTTTTGCAGTTCTTAGAGTAATTTGACATCAAATCAGTTTCAATATCTTATCTATTGTTAGGAGTTCAACACAGAACAACATTAATGCACACAATGTACAACAATATCTGTTTTCTTTTTTTATTCCATGTTTTATTCCATTTCTTTGTAAATACCGTTATATTTTATTATATTTTTTATTACTTTTAATATTTTTCTAGTTCTCTATCTGTGTTTTACAATTTAGTTTTACTTTTATGTATGCGCTAGGTAGGGCTGCACGATATTGGAAAAAACTGACATTGCGATATTTCTTTCCCCTGCGATATGAAAACATACAGGAATTGAAGAAAAGACAGTTTTGTTTGTCCCAAACCATCCTTTCTTGAACTTTAATGCTATACAATTGGTATTTTTTTAACTATATTTAACCGGATGAAGGATTTTAGTCACGGACGTCTGGATCTGAAGTTATCAGAGCAACAAGCTGAGCTAGCTCGGTTAGCCGCGCCGAACTGGAGAAACACATGAAACTACTTTATTCAGTGTTTTTACATTTAATCACCGGGTCCGTTTGCTTTGGAGAGTGGATTGTGATTGGTGGTTTGCTGTCACTCACTCAAGGACCCCTGACATGAGAGCCGCGCCATTTTTCCTTTTGTAGCAAGCAGCAAAATAATTGTAACATGACATGTTTGAGTTCATTTGCCTACTTAATATCGCACGTCCTAAAAAAAAATTGCATGTCATGTGAATATCGCGCATGTGCATATCGCGATTATCGTCACGACACGATATATTGTGCAGCCCTAGTATGCACCATGACATCAAGTCAAATTCCTCGTACGTGAAAACCAACCTGGAAATAAACCTGATTCTGAAATGTATGTATATTTTCTACTTTTTTTTAAAATTGCTATTGAGATGTTGACTTTTTTTAAATGTTTATTTCTTGTCTTTTAATGTTATTGTACAATGCCATGTCTTTTTATGCTGCTGCAACGCAAACATTTCCCAACTTGGGATCAATAAAGTACTTCTTATCTTATCTTAAATACGACATCCTGCAGCGCTCACTACTTCCTTTTTTAAAATATTTTCAGATACAGATCATTTCCTGACAATAACAGGAAGTAGTTCCTACCATCATCCTGCTCTCTGGACTCTTCACCACAGCAGCCACACTCTCCAGAGGAATGATCAGAGACATGGAGGAGATATTCAGAGCATCTTCCTCATCATCATCATCATCATCATCATCGCTCTGGTCCAGGACTCCCTCAAACAGCTGGTTGATAACGGCAGAGTTGATGGAGCTGTCCACGTTCATCTCCCGCTCCTTAACCACTTCCTGCTCTTCCTCCTCTTCCTCCTCCTCTTCCTCTTCTGTGGTTTTCTCTGCAGGATGGAGGACCCTCAGAGGACTGGATGTTGAGGCTGGAGGCGAGATCATCCCATGGCCTGACATTTGACAAAAATCAATGTTAGAAATCATATTTTCTAATTCAAAAAATGAACAGGTTTCCAGGTATTTGCATAGTAATAATTATCTTTAAATCAAAGTACAAAAGTATAAAAAGGGACCAGACACCATTTATGTCCAAATACATATTTAAATCATCTAAAACTATTAAGTTGGATGCAATGTAATCTTTTTGCACATCTCAAAACACTTCAATTATATGATCAATTCAGGCCATGAGTAGTGTTGTTTGTAAATCGTTTTGTAAAGATAATAGCTGGTAATTGGTCCACAACAATTTCCCCACCTCTGGCATCCTCAGTTTACTCCCTTCAAAGCTGAACAAATGAAATATTCAGCACACAACAGCTAACATAACTTCCTTCTCATTCCCAAAAATAAAGTGTAAAGCAGGAGACTCTGCTTTTAGCATTAATAAACATTGAGACAGGTTGGGTACAAAGTCATCAATTTGACAAAAATACCACATCTCTCATCGGGGTCGGAAACACACATTATGATAGTCATTCATAACTTGTATTATAAGGGCCCAGCTTTGACAAACCAGAGCTTTCCCAAAGTCAAAAGATCTAATGGATGAAAGAACAGCTGCCAATGCTCATCAGAGAACCATCTTGCTAAAACAAAGTAAACATGTTCAACAGTGATATGAAATATAGTTTAATACCTGGAGGGAAGCTCTTAGTAGGCGTGTCCGTCCTCTGAGCCGAAGCTTCCTCCTGCTCTTCACTCTGAGACACTTCAGCCTCCACAGGCGTCTCAGGCTGCTCCTGAAACATATCAGTCATTTAACATTTCCTCACGAGAGCAGGACTGTAGTGTGAGATGCAAACAGAACGTTGTAATGTGTGTCAGATGCATGCTGGCCTACCTTGATGTCTGTGTTCTTGTTGGTTCCTGTTGCCTGATCTTTCCACATGTTGCTCCCCTTCTGGAAGCGACTCCGAATCTGAGCCAGCTCTGACTCTCGCTCCTGAAACAGAAGAGGTTGTTTTTAAAATCTCATTTCACTATTGTGACATCAAACACAATGATAACAGGTAGCTAGAGCTAGGAGATATATCTATATTCATCATTGTGTTACTCTGCCTTTTGTGCTCCGCCCCAAACACTTGGTCTTTATGCACATGAAGAACAGTAAACTAAACGAGACACAATTTTCTATTTTTTTAGATCTTTTAAATGTTGTTCATGTAAATAAAGGAGGATATTAGTGGTGATATTGATGTTAATAGGAGGGCAGATGTAGCTGGGCTGGGTCATATGTCCATTTAACGTAGTTTATTTGATAGGAGATTAAATATAGTGTTAGATTTGGTACATGGTGAAATGACACAAGTGTCTATTCCTGATCTGAAAGGCTGCGTTTCACTAAATGCAAGTCATTTTCTGAATTAACCAGAGCTGTTGTATTATTAGGCTTTACCTACTAAGTCATAATGCCCTGAGGATTATTTATCAAAATTGTAATTTTTTTTTAAACACTATGTAAAAGTGACCCTAAAATATTGTCACGATATCAAGGTATTTGTTTAAAACAGTCTTGATTTCTGATCGACTTCACTCAACTCTCTGCTCCAGAGCTTCTCTTGATACCTGGACTCACACCGTACATTTTACATTTATATTCAATCTAATATTTAATAACCCATTCCTCACATACTTATGTATATATAATATCCTGCTTTATATTTTGTTACTGTACATTTGTAATTCCACATGTATATTTTCTACTTTTTCTAATGCTATTTTATTTCTATTTGAGACATTTACATTTTGGATTGTTTATTTCTACTCTTTTAATTTCTCTCATGTGTAATGCCTTGTCTTCTGATTCTGCTGCAACGCAAACATTTCACACATTGGGATCAATAAAGTACTTCTTATCTTATTATCTTATCCCCAGCCCTACAGGAAACAGCGTCTGAACTAAGAGACACAATGTAACATTACTGATATTGGGCTATATAAATAAACATTGATTGATTGATTGATTGATCATGTACCAGCTTCTGTTTCTGGGTGAGGTCAGCAGTAGTTGTGTGAGCGGCGGCTCTCAGTCTCTCCTGAACCAAACGGGTGTTCGGGGTGAGGGAGGAAGGCGTCACAGCAGGAGTCCTGGGGGTCCTGGAGCCCCCTGCTGGAGAGGAAAGGTTACTGCGCTCCTGGCACTTCTCTCCAAAACGTTCCAGGAAAGATTTCACACCTGTTGGGAATAAAGGGGAACAATTATTCTTTTGATACAGGCGGAAAAACCAACTGTGAATAAAAAATAAAAAACACACATTTTGCAATATTACTGTCACCTTATCTAATACATCATTCCATTTACTTGTATATAGACTCTTCTTGCTCTATTTCTATTTTATTTGTATTAACTTGCATCTCAAAACATTCTCTTGCACTATTTTATCTGTTTTATTTGTTCTATGTCCTATATATATATATATTCATGTTGCTCTGTTGGAGGAGGACTTCAGTTTGTCATTGACACATCTACACAGTAGCTGCTGAGCTCATGATGATGAAGCCTTGAAACCTTGCAGGACTAGATCATCTCTCTATATATTCAGTGTTATAAAATAACTCACCAGGTCCTCCTGTGGTGTCCTTGGGTCCAGAGGATCCAGTGATGGTGGGCTTGGTTCTGAGTTCTGGTTTCTGGGGGCTCGGGGCGGGGTTCAGGTTCCTGGAGAGGGCCTGGGTCTTCAGGGGGCTTTGAGTCACGGATGTTAGGGATGAGGTTCCGGCCTTCTGGGGGCTGCATGGACCCTGGATAGAGCTCTTCTGGGGGCTGGAGGGGAAGGATGCCCCCTGGATGGAGCTCTTCTGGGGGCTGGAGGGGAAGGATGCCCCCTGGATGGAGCTCTTCTGGGGGCTGCTCACAGACTGGAGAGCTGCTCTGGCTGCAGGAACCTCCACCTTCTGGGGAGTTGGGAGGTCAATTCGACTCGGCTTAGGTGGGCCGTACTGAGCCTGAAAAAACACACAGGTCGTGTTATTAATAAAGCAAACTGTGCATTCAGAACAACAGTAAACTGGCAGCTGCATATCTGGCATTGTGTAGCCGAATCACGGTGTGTTGAGTTACAGCATAGGACATCAATTTGGGCTACTCTTCTCTGACAGTGCTGAAGGTCTTTGACTAGGGGGGTCATGTAATAAGGACTGTAAATAATATTGAAGTGTCTGCAGATCACTCTGATTAATAAATGAATTGCTGGGTCTATATAATGTCACCAAGTAGTGACAAATTGCCATTTTAGGTCCCTATAGTTCATAGTGAAGCTTTCTTATGTCATGTTTTATTTGTTCAAAAGTACAAAACCAAAATAAATTCACAAAGAAAATCAGTAAAACTTCACAGTTGAGTAGTTAAAGCAAATGTCTGGCCTTTTTGCTTAGGATAATACAATAAAAAAACAAAAAAATGCAAAAGAAACTCCTAAAAGTAAATATTATTAGAATTTAGGATATTTCTTTAGACAGACGGCTCGTATATAAACAGTCAGTAAGACATTTTCCTACCAAAGCATAAAGTACCTGAGCGCTGGGTGTAGACTTGCTGCCTGCAGGACTTGGCTTAGCTCCGTTAGCCACGTTAGCTCCTCTGCCTGCTGACATGGGGACGGCAGAGCTCTGTTTCTCCGTGGGGAATGCAGCGTGGCTCAGGTCGTCCTCCCAGGATCCGATGGTGGCGGCGAGGTTAGCGAGACGCCCTCTCCTCCCAGCAGGAGGCCCTGAGGACGGGGTTGCAGCTGCTGGGGCCTCAGGGTGTCTCTTCGGAGGAGACGGGGGGGCGCAGTCTGGAGCCGCTTCAGAGGAGTCTGAAGGTGGGAATATGTGGGATTTTAGCAGGGATATGAATCTATATAACTGAGGGACATACATAATGAACCTCACAGCATTCACAGTTAGATATTGCAAACTATGAATTCCTGAAAGTGGATCAGGAAGCCTTTATCTCAACAAAGAGAAAACAAACAGAGGTAGGGCATTTTGTATTAGACCTAGCCATGTCTTTATTTGAACCGGACAAATATATCTGCTTTAACAAAGATGGCTAAAAAAAGTGACTAATAAGTGCACTACATAGTAACCTAGATTAAGTGTGTTGTAGTTCCTAAGATATAGACGTTTTCTTATGATACGATGTTAATTGTTTGGGCAAATTAAACTGTTTTTCCCTGAAACAAAATGCATAAAAAACATCCAGTTTGCCCAGAAACAAAATATAGGATGAAAGAAAAACAAATGTTTTAACCGATATATTTTTTTTTAGATTTGTGTTGAGGCAAACTCAGAAAAGACTTGTTTCAGTTGCTACAGAGGGATTATATACTTTGGAACAATCCATGAAAATACTAAAAAAGTATCTCAAAGAGCCCAGAAAAAATATTCTCACCGTCTCCATCCCAGTACTTCCTCTGCGCCGCGAGCCTCTGCAGACGAGACCTCATGCCGGCAGTGGGAGGAGCTTCATCTTCTTCTGGATCCTGCCTCCTTTGAGGGGTCGATCGGACAGGAACCATCTCCTCCTCTCTGAAGCTGGGAGCAACAGGAGGAGACACAACCACCATCTTCTCCTCTCTGACGCTTTGAGTAACAGGAGGAGACACAACCACCATCTTCTCCACGGGTCGGGGTGCGTTCCTCTCCATAGACGAGGCGTGACGGACACTGTTGGGTCCCGTTGGGGGTTTCTTATCTGTGGGAGGGTCTGAGAGCACGGGGGCCACAGATCGGCTCATCGCTGGCTCCTGGTTCTCCTCACCGGCTACATTTTCCTCCGAGCAGCGGCGCTTTGAGGGGGAAGGCTTGGAGGAAAGCTGTGGAACTGGGAGGAGGCGATGGGAGGGGGAGTATTAGTGAAGAGTACCACAAACTGATGAGCAATAACATGTGTGTTCAACATGTTCCTAGTTAAAATGATTAGTAGTACTGGCTGCCTTCTTAGTTTGACAATTGTAAAAAAAGAATCTATATGTAACTCTGTGAAATATATAATTGTTACTCTGTTATCTAGCTTCTACCATACTACATTTAACACTTAATTGCTGCTGCTTCTACTACTCTACCTGAATGTGTACTTAATGTAAATATTATGTGCATGCCATTTATCTAATACTTTTTGTCTCTATCTTTACTTTTGCTGTCATAATGTAAATATAAAAAGGAATCCTGATTCGATTAAAGATATAGCGAAGTATTTAAAGTGACAGGAAGTTAGAACTACAGCTTTCTGAATGTGAAAGGGCATATAACCAGGACCCCTCTGAGTCCAATCCAAAAATGACTCTTGCCACTAGAGCAATACTTATTTTATTGCTCTCTAAAAAGGTAGAGCAGAATATAAGATTTGCAAAGTCAAAATGATATGAGTTCAGAAACAAAGCAGGCAAGTGTTTGGCTAATCTGGTGAAGAAAAAGATGAACATTTCCTCTGTTAAGGAGGTGTGCACCAGGTTAACTTTGTGTATTGACTACTTTAATAATAATAATATAATAATAATCTTTATTTGTATAGCCCCTTTCATACAATAAGTGCAGTTTAAGGTGCTTTAATCACTTTCTTTTAGGAGAAAGTTGCTCTTAGTTTGTCTTAAGTTGTTTGTGTAAATTGGCTGGTGAGTCCCATCTACTCATTTTTGCCAAATCAGTTTCCTCTCTCCCGGTTATTTTTATATGTTGTACCCCGAGTTTAGGAGGGAACGTAACAGATGCCTTTGGTGAAGTTAAGTTAAACTGGATACTAATGGCCTAAATAAGTTTTTTGCAGAATTTCATGAGCAGCTATATTCAAGGAAGTGTGCTCACCTTTCTCGCTGATCACACTGTTGGTGTCGGCCAGCGGTCTCTTCACCATCGCTCTGCTCGCTGCGTTCGGTCTGTCGGCCATCTTCTTCTGCAGGTTCTCTCTGCGGGCTCGGGTCCGCTCCAACAGTTTCTGGTTCGACAAAAAAACATTTAAGATGGTTACTCCAGTGGCCGCTTACAATACGACCTCCAACTACAGTGATCTAATTGAAAGAATTGATAGTCTTTAACATGTCACATTATGAGTTGCACAAAAGTCCAACAGTTTCTGATTCATAAAAAAAATATTTAAATGATTTCTCCAGTGGATGCTTTTTACATACAGAGGATGCCCAGTAAAATATATCCATGTGTTCTATATTTTATTATCAGTTACAGTACAATAAAACTACAGTGACCCAACTGAAATAACTGTCAGTTTTAACATGTCACATTATGAGTTGCACAAAGGTATTATTTATAGCAGGGACATGGGGTTGGACGCCTCATATTGCTGCCCAGTTTCATGTTTGTACTTTCTAAATCTTTTTAGATGTGACGGAGCAGGAGGCACTTTTTTTTTTTTTCCTCTGTTGTCTGTGTTGTTTTAGAATGTGTTTTTCATATGCAAACCAAATCGAACCTACGGTTACAAATAAATAACCTGAACTAGGCCAGTTTTTGCCCATCCCTGTGTACTGAAGAGAGGTTCTTATCTGAGGCGTGCCATGGGTTTGTTCAACAACCATAAAGGTGTTGATGTGCATACTGCAGTGTCCTCTTGTAACTAAGCAGTGCAAGAAGCAAGTCAAACATCAGTACAATTACAGTCATTCAGAGTATCTGCTTTTCTGCAACATCGACAGGGATAACTGAACATTTTGAGAGTTTAAATTATCAACATGCGAATGAAAACAAATGAAGTTCCTGCAGGCTGTAATAGATGTTCATGTCATTAAAGGAATAGTTGAACATTGTGTAAATGTGTGAAACAGGGTACAGTACTTTGTCTGCTTCTTTATGGACCACTTAAACAACCGTAGTTACACAAATCAGCTTTCCACCATAAATAAAGAGGCCTCTGTTTGCTCGCCCTCTTTTCTTTACATGACATTCCCTCTGGCCATGTCACACTCTGAATTACTGTTTGAGCGTTAACTGTGCAAGTCCAAACACATTCCTGCAGCCTCAGTTTGCACCGCCTTCACAACTTCTCCGGGCAGCGTGGAAAAAGTGAAGTCACATTTTACAGCATTCCTCAGCTGTTAGCCACTCCTGCTTGAGGTTCCTGGATTTGAATTTTCAAACCCTACTGGCTCGAATCCTGGAGTAACAGGAATTGTTATAAGATATAAATTATTCCTACTTTTAGCTTGCCGTGTCAGCAAGAATGCTTCAAGACAACTAGAACAAATCAAACCAGAAGGGACTTTGGACAAATTCCAGTGTTGCCACATACCATTGCCTTACATGGAGACAAGCTGATTTATGGAAAAAGGCTGACGTTATACCGAAGGTGGTGTCTTTGGTTAAGAGCATTGATAACGTACATAGGAAAAGGTGTTATAGTCCTGAATCAAAACCTCAGCAAGGAGCCTGGTTAAAGACTTACCAGAGGTGTAAAGTAACTAAGTACATTTACTCAAGTACTGTACTTAAGTACAAGATCTGAGTACTTCTTCCACCACTGGTTGTTACAGTTATTTCAGATGTTTTTTGCTAAGTCATTTACTCAAGTACTGTACTTAAGTACAACGTTGAGGTACTTGTACTTTACTTGAGTATTTCAAAGTGTTGCTACTTTGTACTTCTACTCCTCTCCAATTCAGAGGTAAATCATGTACTTTTACTCCACTACATGTATTTAATCCCTTTAGTTACTTCACAGATGTGAAATATAATCACCTCTTAAATCAGACTTTAGTTCCACCTGGAGTAAATGCACAAGCTACCCTGCAGTATACAAAGTCATTCAAACTAGCTGCACCTTTACCAGCTTTGAGAACACTTTCATGATCAATCATTATAAAACATATCATATATATTATTCTGAAATGGACCAATCTGCACAATGACTACTTTTATTCCTACAATCTTCTACTTTTACTCAAGTACAATATCTGAGTACTTCTATTTGTATTAAGTACAAGATCTGAGTACCCACCTCTGGATTAATGTGAAATGCTACGTTAGCTAGGTTAGCATTAGCAGCCGTTGACGTTCTATCTACCAAGGTAACTGTTTAGCTTAGCTAGCTCTCCGACTTACCTCAGTAAATGGATCCATTTTGGACAGTTTATCCAGACGATTATAAGCGTTGTATTGAACAAGAGTTACACACTGTTTGTGAACTAAAGCAGGACAAAATGGAGCTCCTCTCTCCTCTTCTCGGTTCCTCTTCTCTCTGACAAAACAAACTGTTACAATTTTGAATTTGAGCGCTGCGCCTACTGCGCAGACTCCGACCGTTGAACGAAACCACTGAGAACCAATCAGAATCGACTTGGCTTGCTTTTCACTTGAACAGCCAATCAGAGCCTAGGTCTGTACAAAAAACACGTCACATCATGTCAACAAGGCCCCTCCCACTCCGCTGCATCACGCTTTTCACATTACATTATTGTGGCACATCAGTAAAGCCTTACATATAAATATATAAGTTGGCAGACATAATTTAATGAATTTTAACTGAACAATAACTGAATGAGTTTGTTTCACTCTTAGACCAGCAGGGGTACCAAATCAATGAAGACTGCTGCAATAAGTACAATAATTAACTGTCTCATCGATGTTTGTCTGAATGAATATGATACTATTAACAATCATATTATTCCTATCAGCTGTCAATCACTGTTATGATTCACATATTCATTTATTATTGAATAAACTATATTTTTTGGAGGAGTTAATGATGAATGTTCCTCAAGATGCTTGCTCACCCTCCTTCAAATTTGAAAGACAAGTAATTATATCAAAATTCAAAAGATTCAAAGGAACACTTCAGCGCCCCACAACTTTACTGCAAACAGTTACAACCTTGACTTTACATCAGAAAGAACAAACATTAAAGAAGTGACTAACTGCATCAGTTAGGGTTAAAAAACGTGTATTCAGCTAAAATTATCCAGTGGAAAGCCCTTACCTACTGGCCTAGTTAAATCAAAGTGTGTTAGCAGATTTAGACTTCTACCTTTTCTCTCTCTGCAGCAGAAAGGTGACTATTCTCAGCAGTTCAAGTTTAGCCATTCATCACGGCGTTATTTATTAGATGCACACAGGTCAAGAGACTTGGGGCCCGTTCTCATGTCTTCAAATGTCCCTCCTCGACTCCCCTCCTCGACTCCTATCCTCGAGACTTAGTCCCGCCCACAGGAGATGCGAGCGGAGGAGCCGAGGAGGGGAACCGAGGAGAGAGGAGGGGAAGCAGCAGGCGGTTAGAGAAATGAGAACTCCTCTCCTCTGAGCGGTCATTTTAAAGAGACGTCCATTAATGATGACAGGAGGCACAGCAGCCCTCTGTCTGATGGACAGATGTGTTCATGACGACTTATATATTTACTTTTAATTCATTCACAGTGCAGTATAATGAGACAATAACAGGCTACACACACACACACACACACACACACACACACACACACACACACACACACACACACACACACACACACACACACACACACACACACACACACACACACACACACACACACACACACACACACACACACACACACACACACACACACGTATATATTTATATAAATATATACAATTTCAGAATCAAACAGAGCACTCTCATAATAACGTAACACTATCAGAGACTGGATATATCCCCCCCCCTCTCCCCTCTCTGGTCGCTACAATGAGGGAAATAAATGACGGGCCAAAAGTTGTATTTGAGTGATTCTATAATTTAGGGTGCATTTCACATCAACAAAACAGTACAAAGAAAGTGTTCTTTCTCAATAGAACAATCAGTGGTTCAAGTTAGTATATTCCTCAGTGTAACATATCCACTGGTTGCAAAGCTTAAACATTTTTTTATTTTATTTGATATAAATGTAATAACTGTTACTACAGTTATTACAGTACTGGGTAACTTAGTTGACAGGTAACCTAGTTGACAATTTCCCTATTTTGACCCATCATTTCAATGGTAGGCCTTGCTTGGATGACCACATGTCATTTTCTTGAACAGGTTAACATCACATTTGAACATATAATTGAATTAAAATCATTAAACAATTGTAAACCATAACAATGTACGTAACATTGTTGACGGTCAATGAATATACTCATTGACAATGTGCTATTATACATAAAATATTGTAAAAAATTAGAGGACAATCACCACAGTGTGTTCAAAATGTCTGCCAAAGAGGAACATGGCATCATGTGATGCTGGTGACATGGTATTGGGACAAACCATTTTTGAGTTAAATGGGGGAGTTCTGTTAGTAACAGAGTTGACAGAACTTTTGCGGACATTCATATATTAAGATATTTAAATTATTTAAAGGAGGAAATCAATTAAAAATATGTTATTATTCTTTAGTATTTAGACTTTTGAAATAAATGAATACTTTTTTTTATTTACTTTAATGGTTTTTATTCATTATTTTGACACCAAGACACCCTCAACTGAAAAACGGACAGAGCAAAAACTGACAATTTAAGAACATCATGACACATTTCAAGGTAAATAAAGCATAGGATGCACATAATGTTTGTGTGATATTATAACATGCTTTCCAATAATAGGCAAAATATGATATTTTTGAAGAAAATAGTTGGAATAATTATAATTATCATCAATGGACATCAATGGACATGGAATGTACCCTAAATTGTAGAATCACTCATTTACAAGTATTACAAGTAAGCAGAGGACACCAAACCAACTGAGACCTGTCTGTCTGCTGCATCTACGCACACACTGCACCACACACACCTACACCACACACACGCACCTACAGCTCCTAAAGCATATAATCAGGCTACAGCCGTTGTGTATTTTATTATGTGAAGCACTAAATGGTTTTAGAAAAATATCGACTTTGTTTGTAGATATCTACTAAACTAAAGCAAATAAAGAGAGTAGGCCTGTTATACTGAGTGATATGATATATATTATACACACTGCTCTGCTTTCTGCACGGACCTCACAGCTGTTCTCACTGTAAACATCGCGTCGCGATGAAAGCAGTTAATAAAATAATATCCAGGGGATGCATGCAGAGCTGTCATTGGCTGAGATAAGTCCGGCCGTGCGTCTCGACTCTTTGAAACATCACTGTTGCCGGAAATGCATCCACGAAGGAGCCGTGGAGGACCGTGGAGGACCCATCAGTGTATCCTCGGTTATAGCTCCTCCAGAGAGCCTCCTCGACGCTCGATGCTCGGTCCTCGATGTGCATTTCGAGAAATTAGATGTCCTTCAACATGACGCGCTAAAATTCATTTCCGGGTCACTACCGGAGGACCGAGGAGTCGAGGAGTCGAGGAGGGACATTTGATGACATGAGAAAGGGCCAAGGAGTTTCTCGTTGCTTTTTCTGAAACAAAGCTGTTTGTCTGCAGTACCCCTGAGATAACGCAAAACGTGTTTTACTGTAACCCAATGCTCATCTGTCGGTTCAGCAAAAATATTGTGATAACTTGCTTACCACGAAACATAGGTCTGGACGTGTACAGGTAGTCAAATAAATAAGGCTGCCGACAGCCTCTCTGTATTTCTTCACATCCACCATTTTAGGTGCATCTTCAGTGTAGTCTAACTTTTGGTCACAAGGTGTCTCCCTTACCCTACACTCCTGCATGTCAAAACGTTCCAATATCTTTTCCACATACCTCTTTTGTGACACTTTCACACAGCAGTCAGACTGACTGAAATCCATGCCCAGAAAATGATTTAATCTCCCCAAATCCTTAATTTTAAATTTTGTGGAAAGCATGTTCTTCACTTTCTCTAAAATCTTGGTGTTGCTGGCTGCGATGATAAGATCATCGACCCAGATAGCAATTATTACTTTTCCCTCTTTAGACTCCTTGGAGTACACGCAGTGGTCTGCCGGGTTCTGAGTGAAATTGTCATCTGTTAAGCATTCATGCAACATCGTATTCCAATTTCGCCCTGACTGCTTCAGGCCATAAATTGACTTCTCTAGTTTACACACTAGCTTTCCTCCCTCCTTTACATAACCCTCAGGTTGTTCCATGTAAATGTCGTGATCGATGGGTGCATGCAGGTAGGCCGTCTTTACATCCATCTGGTGTAAAATCAAATCCTCTTGGGCTGCCTTCTGCATTAATACCATAGACTGTATATATACGTACACTTGTCAGGTTGGCTGTTGGTGAGAACGTCTCCCCATAATCTATCCCCGCCCTCTGACTGTATCCTTTCGCTACGAACCTAGCTTTGTACTTGTCGTGTCCGTCAACGTCTCCCATAACTGAATAGACCCATTTACCTCCCACTGTTTTCTTGCCCTCAGGCAATTTAGTCAGGGTAAAAGTCTTATTTTCTTCTAGAGACTTAATTTCCTCATCCATCGCTTTTCCCCAGTTTTCTGACTCAGTCGATGTCATGGCCTCTTTAAAGGTCAGAGTTACACCGCAAACTGCTCTGTAACAATAATCTACACTAGTGAGTGTTTTATCATCTTCATCACTATCTTCCTGAGTATAATCTCTCAAGTACTCTGGGGGTTTGCGCTCCCTACTGGAATATCTCCCACTGTCTGAGGCATGTGACGACACCCGAGGGTGCTGTTCGCCATCATCCTCTGGTGCTGACTGTGGACCGTCAGTCTGTACATCTGTGCTCAATACACAAGGCTGTGAGGCCTTTACTCCCTCTTCACAGTCTTCCTCCGAATCCTGTTCTAGCCTCTGTGTCTGAGTCTCGCTATCACAAGTTGTGCTGGTGATAAACTTTACTAGTCTGTGCTTCTGCACCTTCTCTTTGTCGGGGTAGTAAACTAGATATGCGGGGCTTCCCTTGTCATGCCCTACAAAACGTCCTTTCTCACACCTCGTATCTAATTTTCCCCTGTCCTGCTGGTACGCATAACACACTGCTCCAAACTTATGCATCCTAGCTAAGTTACACTTTGTCGTAAAACTGTGAAGTAACACTTTTTTTGTGTGAAACCGCTCAATGAACTACATCTCCCGTCTCGCACCACACACCAAGACGGCCGTCACGTTGGCACATTTCACTTCTTTCTTTCAGAATGAGGCGGAAAGTATTAAAAGAGGTGAAAATCACTCCAAGTCTGGGCATGTTGAGAGCTGCACATACACACAAGGGGAGTTAGTCGGTTCCGTAAGAGCCAGCATGCGGGACCGGGATTCTGGGATTTGTAGTCTTTCTAGTTGCGTATTTTTCATAGTCTTATATTTCAACAGTTTTACGACAAACTGTGACTTTTTTTAC